AAGTTCAAGGGTGAGATTCCTCCATCACAAAAGCTGAGAAGAGACTAGGAGGCTCCCATGTGTGATTGAGTGAAAGATAAATACCTACTTAGCAACATAATTTACCTGAAGCTCTACAGACGCACGTCAGGCGATGTGACCTGAAGCCCTGGAGTTAAAAAACATTGAAAACTGGTAAAGAAAATGTTAACTTTCCTGTTAACAGTAATGCAATTTTTTATAATGTGAAAGAGGTGGTAGAACTTAAAAGAGTATTCACCAAAATCTCTGCCTTATTAAGTCCTAATATAAAAAGTGGCAACCCACCGCCCACTTAAGGATTTATATACAGGTGCTCCTCTACTTACGAACGAGTTACGTTCCTGAGGCTTGTTTGTAAGTCCAACTTTACTCTTGTAGATACCAAACATATTGTCAAAAATGAAAATATGATGAATATTTAGTACAGCTATACCCTTTAATACAGCCTTAAAACATGGCTCATTCTTATCCTCTTAGGTAATGTTTGTTCTATCTGGTATTTTCTTCAAAATAATCCAGTCTCATCCACATTAAACACCTATTCTGGCAGGTTAACCCCCTCAGTGATGATGTTTGTATCTCTGAAAGTTTGTAAGTTGAATGTTCTGCAGCACCTGTAGAATATTTCTATGAAACTGCATAGGTACAGTTGTAAAAATGTGGATACATTTTGGAAACTGAATTGGCTCGTAGCCGTAATATTGCAGCTCCCTATCACACAGGTGGCAAGGCCATAATATTAGACCACTAGGTTAGGTTAGAGAAAGTTTACATCCCAAAAAACAAGCCATTTTAATGCAAAATGCTGAATGATATATATTATATTTTCTAAAAATGCAATATCAGGGCCATGTTGCCTGAGGGCTCGGTAGTTGCAATATTACAGCTATGAAGGCACTTCGTTTGGGAAAAGCATTTGGGGTAATTTATGAAGAAACTGCTACCACCAGAAGTTGTTGTTCAATTTTTTCTGCAGATGTTCTTATCATTTTAGTAAATACTCAAAAAAAGGTGACATTTTAATTATAAGTATATTTATTTTGTATTTATATATTTTCTCTATCTATAATCATAAATCACCTGTAGTGGGCAGAGCATGAAGGCTGAGGAAAATTGTGTGTTATAATACAGTGAAAAACTAATCATATGACACTAAAATGATGTCTGTATGTGCTTTGTACATAAAAATTTTATTATTTACAGTAAATACTCCTCTAAAAAATCGGACTTTGTCGGCCCATGTTATCATCTGGGCTGTTTGTTTAAAAGTAACCTGCTGTCAGAGCGTACTCTCATGTCCACTAAAAACATAAAATTAAACCATGATGCTTCAACAAAGTTGTTTTCATTGGTACCAGATATCAAAATAAGTACTTTCTGTTTAATATAGTAGGGGGTCTGCCCCTGGCTAGGAAGTTAGGTAGGTTTCTTTGGTTGGTTAGGTTAGGTTCTACTGGTTTCTAGTTTATGTCGCCTCTTTTAAAATACTTACTATAATAAGAACATCTATGGAAAAAAGTAATGAAATTGCACAACTTCTTTTAGTGGTAGTGCTGTTCTCAAATATTACCAGTTCTAGTATATGTAGCCTCTTTCAAAATACTTGCTATAATTATAAGAACATACAGTATTGTGAACAAATATATAAAATCTGTAAACTTTTTCTGGTGGTGTTCTCATAAATTACCACATTAATTTGGATCTACAGTATCATTCATCCCATTTGGACAATTTCCATCACTAACTTGTTTAATGCAATTTTACATCACATAAAACAGACACCTGTCTGGATGGGAATTGTCCAACTAGGATGTAAATTCAACCTATGGGTATGACTCAGAAATAACTCTGTTAATAGAGTTACTCTGTAGTAAATATTTGGACCCAGACTGTTCTAATTTTGGTGGTCATGTTTTGCTTAACTTGATGCGCAATGCAATTTTTTTTTTACACTAAAAATTTCTATTTTTCAACCTCCGAACTGAAAATCATAAAGTAAAAAAAAAGTACAGTATTTATTTTTTACTTAACTATGACCGCTTTCCATTGAAAACCAACAAATATTGAAGAAACTGAAACCGAAATTGGCACAAATTCTTACCTGGAAGCATAACTGGGAGGCTCCACTCCCTCCAGACACCCCAATTTCTAACTTAATCATAACCTAACCTAACCTTGACTTGACTTTACAAACATAACCTAACCTAGGTAGCTTAGGTAAGAATTGCCACCAATTTCCGTTTCGGTTTCCTCAATATTTGTTGCTTTTCAATGGAAAATGGGGTAAATATTTAGAAATTGCCAAACACCAATTTAAATATTGGGTCTTAAATAGGAATAGAGAGAAAAATAAAAATAATCTAATATACTATAGGAATAGCTGTCTGTCTGTTCTGGACAGCCAAAACGGCACAAACCTGGTCCCATGTCAAATACTGGGCATGCACTGACTCCTGAATATATCTGGACCTGCTCCAGTGTTGGTCAAGTCTGGCCTTGAATAACCTCATGTTCGGTGTCGTTACAACACTAACAGATTGTTCCAAGATTTCACAACTCTCACTCCGAAAAAGTTTGCCCTCACAGTTTTCTGGATTTGTGGCTTCTTCAACCTTGAGCTGTGACCCCTTGTGGGGTGGACGCCCGCCAGCTCCAGGTATGTACATTCACCGAGTAGTGCCCCCAACAACGGGCCCAATACACTGCCCTGTGATACCCCACAAGGGTACCATTTATCACCACACTCTGTTTGCGGTCATGCAGGAAGTCTCCGATCCACAGTAGGACACCTCCCCAAATCCCGTACCCTGCCAGTTTGATTCGCAACCTTTCATGGGGTACAGGACACTGTCGAAAGCCTTGTGCAAAATCTAGGTATATATTATCAATATTTCTGCCTTGTAGAATTTGAGTAAATGTGTTAAGCAGGATCGTCCCGGTATAAAACCGTGTTGGAAGTCTTTTACAAGGTTGTTTCATAGCAGATGTTCCATCATGGCATCTCTCACGATGCTCTCTAGTACTTTGCTCACTGATCTATAATTATTATTCAAAGATTTATGATCGCCCTTCTTGAATAAAACGACTCGCATAAGCCATCTTCCAGTCGTCGGGGACCTTTTGCTCCTCCAGGCATTTGCAGAACAGGATCTTAAGAGGTTCCACAAGCTTGTTAAACAGTTCTCTCAACACTCTGAGGGTGTACCATATCTGGGCCAGGACTCTTGTGAACCTTTAGCTTTGACAGTTTATTTCTTATAACCTCATCCTAGTTCACAATGTTGGTCAGCACTGAAGTAGCATTAGAAAATGTTATTATATTATCATTTTGGTCATGCTGTAGTGGATACACTCCCCTACAACTGCCGATTTGTCACTTGCCGTCTGCTTACCAGCCAACCAGCGGCGAGTTCCACAGACCGGGCCTCGCTTTCGGACTGCGCGGTGATTGGCCAGTTACCGCCTTCACCTCAGCCAATCAGCAGCGCCGCTCACTTCACATCTCCGGACCTGATCCGGCAGAATCGTATAAATACCCCCAGCCTCGCCGTGAAGGTCATTCTACTCAATGCTCTCAAACGGACAAGACCTCCTCTCAACAAGCTCCTCACCAAACAGCAACCCCAAGCACTGCATTGTACATATAATATATATACTGTATATATAGAAAATGCCATTGTGAGTTTCCCTTCTCACTCCCATCCTTAGCGCAAGATCTCCTATGTGTACGTATGTATGTGAGCCGAACAAAGTGTAAATAGACAAACACAAAGAGAAATTTGACAACTGGCCACATACAATATGCTACAATGCTGCGAAATTTAAGATTTTAAGTTTAGGTTAGGTTATGATATGTTGAAATTATGTTTTTCCAATGGTTTTTGATGTTTTGATGTTTTGAGTGGTTCTGACCAACTGAGTACAGCTACTCCCCGACCTACGACCTACTCGACTTACGACCGCCTCAGTCGTACCAAAATTTTGTCAAATTACTTACTTTCGAGTCCCAACATCAGTGATTGCGCTGTATACGGACAAAATTTTCGTTTGTAATTCACTTTAAAATGTCTGGAAAGCTTAAAAGTGAGAGTTTTGTGGTACTGAGAAGAAAAAGAGACACCCATTTTAGATTTTCTATGTATTTCGACTTACGACCTGGATTTGGGTCCCTAACCCTGTCGTAAGTTGGGGAGCAGCTGTACTTCCAAAAAGGTGTATGACCAAAACGATAATTTTACCCCCAAAATCGCTCTAACCCATTTGGGAGTGAAACTGCTATACCATAAATGGTAATTTTTCATTTAACACCCATCACCTTTTTTCACATGATAAATATATTTTTTCGCTCGTTTTCTTGCCGTTTTAAATGATTCTGACATTTATCTTTGGGCCAAATCACTATTTTTTTTTTAGTTAGGTTGGTTCATTGGTTTGTTCCATTGGTATGAGAATAGGTTAGGTTTGTTAGGTTGGTTGGTTGGTTCCTTTGATATGAGAATAGGTAAGGTTAGGTTGGTTGGTTGGTTCCTTTGATATGAGAATATGTTATATTTGGTGTTTTACTCAAATCTGACCTTCAATTTTGTGCAAATTTGCGGTTTGTTAAAATGAAATGCATTTTTTTGGCAAAAAAAATGCTAATTTGCACAAAATATGAAGGTCAAATTTGAGTAAAACACCAAAAATAACCTATTCTCATGCCAAAGGAACCAACCAACCGAACTTAAACTAAAAAAAAAAAAAAAAAAAGTGATTTGCCCCAAAGATAAATGTCAGAATCATCTAAAACAGCAAGAAAACTAGCGAAAAAAAAATTGAAAAAAAGGGGATGGTGGTTAACGAAAAATTACCCCATAAAGACTATCTCCGTTGTATTAAGCATCAAATATTGAGCAAAATGAGACCAAAATTGTTCTCCAAGCTAGCAAAAGTCAAGGTCCAAATATTAGCCTTACTCAGTTAATGGCAAAATTTCTCACCTTAAATTTGAATTTAGTTCTACACTTCGTCAAAAATTCCTCAAAAGTGGATGATACAATTTCCACTTTCCGATGACAAGGGCTCACTACTTTAAAGTGTTGCGCCATAGTACAGTACAGTCACAGTCAGGCGGCCACTTGTCTGGAGTGTGTTCTTCACCCTTCGGTCTTCGGCTACTTCCTGTGTTTGTATACAGGTCCAGACGGTGAGAAGGGTGACCAGATTTTCCAGACGGGAAAATGTTAAATCGAAGAAAAAACATTAAAAAAAAAAGGAGGCTAAATTGCTGAACATAAGTAATTATGTATTGAATATATGGGTAATCATCTTAAAATTGTCTCTTATTAGTTATTACTTGTTCCCAAGTTAAACTTATTTTTATGACATGGCAACTACATGTAAGTGCAACATGAGTTGCCTAATCAGTTGCGTGTCCAAGATATTTTTAAGTGATATTAGTCACGTTTGGGTGATTTGGTGTTTAAATTCTCATGCATAAGTCGTTGATGTCTGTTTGCCTAAGCATGATTATTGATCACTAACGTTTTGCTATGAAATTTTGCATATAGGGCAGTTTGCTGGGCCCGTTACTGTCTGTCACAAATGGTAATCTGTAAAATATACTTTATCCTCTTCACCACTGATCGGCTCGTTAGCCGCTTGGGCGATCGGTCACGTTGTAGCGTACTGTACTGTATGAGGCCAGTTGTCAATTATCTTAGTGTGGGCACTGGGCGCACACAAACGTACGTACATGTAGATATCTCACACTCAGGAATGAGGTAGAATACAAACTCACAATGCGCTTTTTGTATATATATTGTTGTATAGCGCAGTGCTTAGGAGTGACTAGGTGGAGAAGCTTGCTCAGATGTCCTGTAGGGCGAGGAGGTTTCTGAGGAAGCTGGGTGGTGAGGAGCTGTGAGAGATGTTGCTGGTCCGGTAGCCGAGTGTAGAATGGTCCCCCTACGGTACGGTACGGAGTCTTTAGTTATGAGGTGAAAGAAGATTATTAGGGGTTGAAGGAAAAGTGGTGAAACTGAAATACAGTAGGAGTAGAAAGAATCTGGGCTCAACCAAATCGCTTCATCTTTCCTATTGGTGTTTTATCTTTGTTCTGCTCCTTTGGGTCGTCAGACCTTTGTATTAATATTGGTTTATTTATATAATGCTGCTTATTATTATTATTTTTATTTATTGTTGGAGTTAGTGAGCCCGCCCAGGTCCTTGTGTAACGGGGAGGGTATTCAAATTTTTTTTTTGCTAAGGTGTTAGTTAAGTGTTAGTTGTGTACCTTTAGACTAACACAACTTGTGTTAGTCTAAAGGTACACTGTATGGAGAGGCCTGTGTAGTGGACGTCTCCCCTACAAACTAACTGCGTAGCAGCCCACCACCTGCTATCACATTCCAATGTGCCACCTTCCCTAGCAACCAACCAGATGTTACCGTATCTTAGCAACGAAACTATTCACCGGCTACTTCTTGGGTTTTCCCACCATGACTCATAGCGGCTGCTGCGGGGTATATAAGCTCTGTCTCTCCCTTGAGATTGATTCTGACCATTCTTCCTGAACTAGCAACACCTCCTCCTCTGCCGCTGCCTGGCGACCCTCGCCTCTCCTCCGCCTGCCTGGCGGTCCTCGCTCCCGCCGGTGAGCATGGCGACCCACCAGCTGTCCTTCCCTGAGCTTCCTCACCAACCAACTCTCATTCTGCCCATTTTCCTGAACAAGCAACATCCCCTCCAGCAAGCTCCACGCTGTTAACATTTCATTCAACCAGGAGGCCAGCAACAAGCAACATCTTCTCTAACGAAGCTCCTGCACATCTACCTCCTTCAACACGATACTCCCGAACGTCTTCTACTGAGCTGCTCCCCACCACACGGCATCTCCAGCACCAGACTGTCTATCATATAACTTATATATTATACAAGAAAACCAAATAGAGTTTCCTTCCATCCTGAGTGCTAGACAACTTTAATATCTCGATACCCCTACACCTGCCAGGTTCTTAGTGGAGCTGGTAGGTCACTCTCATCTTTTATTTTCTCTATTAATGTTTTATGTGTATATGTGTATATTGGGGCAAGAGGTGGTTCAATTACTTCTTCCTGGCTGATGTAGCTGGGAGGGTAATCACATTATTATTATTTTTTTTTTCCGATGGAGTTAGTGAGCCCGCCCAGGTCCTTGTGTAGCTGGGAGGGTAGTCACATTTTTATTTTTTTTATTTTTTTCTAAGTTGTTAGTTAAGTGTTAGTTGTGTTAGTCTAAAGGTACACTGTATGGAGAGGCCTGCCAGGTTCTTAGTGGAGCTGGTAGGTCACTCTCATCTTTTATTCTCTCTATTAATGTTTTATGTGTATATTGGGGCAGGAGATGGTGTGGGGTTCAAGATGTTTGGTTCACACTCAGGATGGGATGGAGAAAGGAAACTCACAATGTGCTCTCTGTATACATGTTGTATTGGATGTACACTGCAGCTTGGTGCTGGGAAGGCAGCATAGTTACAAGCGTGATGTAGAGAGAGCTGGTTGGTGAGGGTGCTCAGAGGAGGACCAGCTTGTGGGTCGCCATGCTCGCCGGCGGGAGCGAGGACCGCCAGGCAGGCGGAGGAGGAGGAGGTGTAGCTGGCTGGTTGGTGTAGGTAGAAAGAGGCAGGTCACCACGAGGTCAGGTCTTAAATAGCGGGGGGTAGGCGTGGCTTAGTAGTTGACCCTCGCTCCGTGATGTATGGCGGCGCTGGTTGACCTAGAGCACGAGGCGCAGCGACAAACAGCGTTTGCAGGGGAGAAATCCACTACAATGGTTCAATTACTTTCTTCCTGGCTGATTTAAACCAACTGTGTTCTTGGAATTCTTCGTTGTCTATATTATTTATCCAGTTTTGATATGTTTCTGTGTTAAGTTCAGTCACTTTTTTCCAAATATTTGCAGCTTTGTTGTGTATTTCTACATTGATTGCTAAGAGGTTTGCTCTCTTGTGTAGCTGTTCATTATTGATGTGGTCTGTATATTTTATGTTATATATAAATCTGAGGGCTATATTTTGTACTGTTTGTAACCTTTTAATGCTCGTTTTACTAAGAGTGTTCAATGGGATGGGTGGGTAGTCCATAATTGATTTGACAAGGGCAATATAAATCTTTCTTTTGTTATTAATGCTAAGGTTCTTAAAGCGTTTTATTTTTGATAATCTTATTCTTGCCTGTCGTTCTTTATCTTTTAAGTATGTTATATGTCCTCTTTTTGTTAGTTTTAGTCCAAGCATCCTGCCTTCAGTGTCGTATGGGTATAGTTCCTGGTCGACTATTACTGGACTTGTTTTGATCTTGGCTATTGGTATTATCTTGAATTTGTTCTTATTTGTCCTGATTTTCCATTTTTTCTCAAAATCATTTATATTTTTTATCGCTCTTACCGTGTAGAGTGCCATAAATTGGGTTGATTTTCCTGGGTATGATACTATTTGAGTAATATCATCAGCAAACATTACATATTCGCTTAAGGGGGTAGGTTGAGGTGTGTCTGAGGTATAAATTGTATATAGTGTTGGAGAAAGGCATCCTCCTTGAGGTACTCCACTCTCAAGATTAAACATAGTTCCCATAAAGTTTCCAATTTGAATTTGTGCTCTCCTATGATCTAAATAGTTACACAATATTCTTAGCAAGTATTCGTTAAGTCCCAGTTTTAATATTTTATATTTTAAGCCTAAATGCCAAACTTTATCAAAAGCCTTAGAAACGTCCCTTAAAATTATATTGATCTGGTTACCCTTGCTTTTTTCTATTGCAATTATTTCCGTTATTGTAGCTATTGCAGTTAGGGTATTTCTATTGGGCATAAATACATGTTGTCTATTGTTAGATTTCCCATGTTGTGTTAAAAAGGTTATAAGTCTTGAACTTAAAATTTTTTCCAATAGTTCCCGGTAATTTCTAATAAAGATATTGGCCTGTAGTTTAATATTTCCTTATTGTCCTTACCCTCCTTGGGAATAAATATCATTTTAGCATATTTTAGTTTGTCTGAAAAAATTTTCAAAGGAGGGCCACCAGACTGGTGCCTGCACTTCGGCACCTCAGCTACCCTGAGAGATTGGAGCGCCTGAACTTGCCTAGCTTATACTACAGACGGGCAAGGGGGGACCTAGTTGAGGTGTATAAGCATCTCAGGGGGCACTACTCAGTTGAGTGTCTTTACTTGGAGCTGGCAGACGCTCGCCCCACAAGGGGTCACAGCTCAAGATTGAAGAAGCCGCAAGTCCAGAAAATCGTGAGGGCAAACTTTTTCGGAGTGAGGGTTGTAAACTCTTGGAACAATCTACCAGAGAGTGTTGTGACGGCACCGAGTGTGAGCTCTTTCAAGAGAAGACTTGACCAACACTGGAGCGGGTTCAGGTACATTCAGGAGCCGGTTCATGCCCAGTATTTGCCAACAGTGCGTGACAGAGACGTAACCGATCGCCCGGGTGGCTAGCGAGCCGATCTTTTGGTGAAGAATATAAATGAAAAGAGAAGTGACCGATCGCCCAAGCGGCTAGCAAGCCGATCAGTGGCGAAGAGGATAAAAGTAAAAAGTAAAAAGAAAGTAACCGGTTATTAAGCATGCGTTATAAATGTTTAATAGTGTTTTTAAGATGTTTTCAGGTATATTCATGATCATATTTCGTGTAATACCTGTGAGCCCGGGGGCTTTTTCCTTAAACTTCCTCAGACAGTGCATCATTTCTCCCATGGTTATTATTTGATTATTAGGTAATAAGTTATAGTCTATATATTGCTTTGGGGTGATTCTATGTATGTGTCTTCCCATTTCGTCTTCTATCCTTTCTTCGTGTTCACTATCAAAATCTTCATTTTCCTCATCTGATATATTAAAAACCTTTACCCATTCCCTTTTGAATGCTGACTCGTGTTCATTTTCCTCTTGCAGTTTTGTTCCATTTTGGTCTTTAATGTATGGTGTTTTTTGCTGAATCTGCTGCTTGTCCAATTAACC